CTCCAGAGGTTGATATGGGGCCTTAATAACCCTCCAGAGGTTGATATGGGGCCTTAAACCCTCCAGAGGCTGATATGGGGCCTTAATAACCCTCCAGAGGTTGATATGGGGCCTTAATAACCCTCCAGAGGCTGATATGGGGCCTTAATAACCCTCCAGAGGTTGATATGGGGCCTTAATAACCCTCCAGAGGTTGATATGGGGCCTTAATAACCCTCCAGAGGTTGATATGGGGCCTTAATAACCCTCCAGAGGTTGATATGGGGCCTTAATAACCCTCCAGAGGTTGATATGGGGCCTTAATAACCCTCCAGAGGTTGATATGGGGCCTTAATAACCCTCCAGAGGCTGATATGGGGCCTTAATCACCCTCCAGAGGTTGATATGGGGCCTTAATAACCCTCCAGAGGTTGATATGGGGCCTTAATAACCCTCCAGAGGTTGATATGGGGCCTTAATAACCCTCCAGAGGTTGATATGGGGCCTTAATAACCCTCCAGAGGTTGATATGGGCCTTAATAACCCTCCAGAGGCTGATATGGGGCCTTAATAACCCTCCAGAGGCTGATATGGGGCCTTAATAACCCTCCAGAGGTTGATATGGAGCCTTAATAACCCTCCAGAGGTTGATATAGGCCTTAATAACCCTCCAGAGGTTGATATGGGGCCTTAATAACCCTCCAGAGGTTGATATAGGCCTTAATAACCCTCCAGAGGTTGATATAGGGCCTTAATAACCCTCCAGAGGTTGATATGGGGCCTTAATAACCCTCCAGAGGTTGATATGGGGCCTTAATAACCCTCCAGAGGTTGATATGGGGCCTTAATAACCCTCCAGAGGTTGATATGGGGCCTTAATAACCCTCCAGAGGTTGATATAGGGCCTTAATAACCCTCCAGAGGTTGATATGGGGCCTTAATAACCCTCCAGAGGTTGATATGGGGCCTTAATAACCCTCCAGAGGTTGATATGGGGCCTTAATAACCCTCCAGAAGTGACCTCTTCCGGGCTATTCATGCCCGTGCCATCACTTAGTGGCTCATTCATCAATCAGTCAATCGACTCTGTAATCTCTGACCCGCTGTTGGTGTTCGAAACGTTGCAATTAAGCTTAGTTCACACAGCAATCACAATAACAGCGATATATTGATGAACAAATTCAAAGGAATTTGCATTTGAAAGCCTCATCAAGGGGGCCTGACGGCTGAGTGGCCGACGCTCGGGATTCGTAGTCATAAGGCTCCGGGTTCGATCCCCGACGGAGGTGGAAACAAATGGACAGAGTTTCTTTCATCCTGATGCCAATGTTCACCTAGCAGTAAATAGGTACCTGGGAGTTAGACAGCTGCTACGGGCTGCTGTTTCTTGGGGGGGGGGGGTGTAACAAAAAGGAGGCCTAGTCGAGGACCGGGCCGCGGGGACGCTAAATCCCGAAATCATCACAAGACAGTAGAGGACCGGGCCGCGGGGACGCTAAGCCCCGAAATCATCACAAGACAGTAGAGGACTGGGCCGCGGGGACGCTAAATCCCGAAATCATCACAAGACAGTAGAGGACCGGGCCGCGGGGACGCTAAGCCCCGAAATCATCACAAGACAGTAGAGGACTGGGCCGCGGGGACGCTAAGCCCCGAAATCGTCACAAGACAGTAGAGGACCGGGCCGCGGGGACGCTAAGCCCCGAAATAATCTCAAGATAACCCCCAGAAGGAAGACCTTTGGTCATTTAGTGTCATCGGTAGTTAACGAATCGGTAATGATTTGGTGACCTTGAAACGACTCAAGACCAAAACAAGGGTCCAAGGATCGAACCCTGAGAGACTTGTCACCACACGCATACCGATGTTCTTAACCCATTTAGAATACCAATGTGTGGTTCATCCTGCTTGCTAGCGTCGCTAATTGTCTCGTGTACTACACCATTTATGTATGTGGGTGTACTCACCTATTTGTACTCACCTATTTGTACTCACCTATGTGCTTGTGGGGGTTGAGCTCTGGCTCTTTGGTCCCGCCTCTCAACTGTCAATCAACAGGTGTACAGGTTCCTGAGCCTATTGGGCTCTATCATATCTACATTTAAAACTGTGTATGGAGTCAGCCTCCACCACATCACTGCCTAATGCATTCCATCCGTTAACTACTCTGACACTGAAAAAGTTCCTTCTAACGTCCCTGTGGCTCATGTGTGTGTGTGTGTGTGTGTGTGTGTGTGTGTGTGTGTGTGTGTGTGTGTGTGTGTGTGTGTGTGTGTGTGTGTGTGTGTGTGTGTGTGTGTGTGTGTGTGTGGAGGAGCTCCCGGCACTGTCAGGACTCTCCCCACCAGTGATCACCATGGAAAACAAAAATTGGAATAGTGTCTGTGTAAATCTGATTGCAGTGTTGCCACGATTATCATTTTGTGTAATTTTTGTTTGTGTATTTTGCACGTAACTGTAATTGTCTTGTCATTCTGTAAGTGGCAACTCGCGTTAAATACACGACTTAACTACGATGTTGCTGCAACGTTCGAACAAGTTGCGACACGTTTCTAACACGTCAGAAACACTTTCTAACGCATCAGAAACACTTTCTAACGCGTCAGAAACACTTTCTAACGCGTCAGAAACACTTTCTAACGCGTCAGAAACACTTTCTAACGCGTCAGAAACACTTTCTAACGCGTCAGAAACACTTTCTAACGCGTCAGAAACACTTTCTAACGCGTCAGAAACACTTTCTAACGCGTCAGAAACACTTTCTAACGCGTCAGAAACACTTTCTAACGCGTCAGAAACACTTTCTAACGCGTCAGAAACACTATCTAACGCGTCAGAAACACTATCTAACACGTCAGAAACACTTTCTAACGCGTCAGAAACACTTTCTAACGCGTCAGAAACACTATCTAACACGTCAGAAACACTATCTAACACGTCAGAAACACGTTTGTAACACGCCAGAAACACGTTTGTAACACGCCAGAAACACGTTTGTAACACGCCAGAAACACGTTTGTAACACGCCAGAAACACGTTTGTAACACGCCAGAAACACGTTTGTAACACGCCAGAAACACGTTTGTAACACGCCAGAAACACGTTTGTAACACGCCAGAAACACGTTTGTAACACGCCAGAAACACGTTTGTAACACGCCAGAAACACGTTTCCAACAAGGTAGCAATAGAGGGGGACCGTTAGGTTGGGTGTTGATACAGTGCAGTTGAGGCAAAGCGACGTGTCCGGTGGCTGGACGGGTCACTCCATCGTGGACGTGGTTCGACCCCCACTGATGTCAAGCCATAGTTAATATGCAGGTGGTGAAGGTCCTTACTGAAGCCAGATACGCCAGGCAGCAGACCTTTATCTTGCCAACATTTGTTATTTTCATCTGTATCACAGACGACCTTAAATGGTCGAGTCTGTCGTCTCGTGGTGAGATGGTCGAGTCTGTCGACCTGTGTCTCGTGGTGAGATGGTCGAGTCTGTCGACCTGTGTCTCGTGGTGAGATGGTCGAGTCTGTTGTCCTCTGTCTCGTGGTGAGATGGTCGAGTCTGTCGTCCTGTCGTCTCGTGGTGAGATGGTCGAGTCTGTCGCCCTGTGTCTCGTGGTGAGATGGTCGAGTCTGTCGTCCTCTTGTAACAAACTAGGCTGTTGTAAGAATTATTCCAGAAGGTTCCAGAAGTCGTGCAGGGACTTGACCTCTCAACAACGCACATTCCTCTGGGAATTAGCAGGTCTGAGTCACAAATGGCGGGCATCTTTGTTCATAGTTTTGTATAATGAACCATCCTATAGTATTCAGTAATTTAGAGAAATTAGCCTTTATTCATTTTGCATTAAAATTGTATTGTATAATAGTACTGGGTACAATATCAAGAGTATTCTAATTATTGAGTTAAGTCACCATCAGTGACGTCACGAATCAGATCTAAGCTGTAAGGCAGAGTGACCGGCGGTCATAGGTCAGCAGGGTTGACAGGTCTACTATTTCTCAAAGTTCAATTAACCATTTTGGGGATCGGAAACAGCTCTGCCGTTAGATGCTTGTGTAATTTAATTTCAGTAAAATAATTCAACCAGTCTGGATCAATTAAGTACAACAGAGGTTAATTGTTATAACTTAACCTTGCTAAAGTAACTGGGGTAAGCGATGCGGAACAATACAATGTTCTAGTCTGGGCTAGATCAGACGAGGACAGATCAGTGTGGACTCCAGAGCAGCTGGGAGAGGTCAACCATCTACCTCTCCCCAAGAGCTGTTCCCGATCCCCCAAAATGGTTAATTGAACTTTGAGAAATAGTAGACCTGTCAACCCTGCTGACCTATGACCGCCGGTCACTCCGCCTTACAGCTTAGATCTGATTCGTGACGTCACTGATGGTGACTTAACTCAATAATTAGAATACTCTTGATATTGTACCCAGTACTATTATACAATACAATTTTAATGCAAAATGAATAAAGGCTAATTTCTCTAAATTACTGAATACTATAGGATGGTTCATTATACAAAACTATGAACAAAGATGCCTGCCATTTGTGACTCAGACCTGCTAATTCCCAGAGGAATGTGCGTTGTTGAGAGGTCAAGTCCCTGCACGACTTCTGGAACCTTCTGGAATAATTCTTACAACAGCCTAGTTTGTTACACTCTGTCTCGTGGTGAGATGGTCGAGTCTGTCGTCCTCTGTCTCGTAGTGACAGAGATAACGAGTCTCGGGGTGGGAAGGGAACTATCAGAGGGTAAAGCGCCAAGCCACCACGACTATATAGCACTGGGAAGGGGTCAGGATAAGGATTTGGGATGGGACGGAGGGAAGGAATAGTGTCCCAACCACTTAATGGACGGTCGCGGGGATTGAACGCCGACCTGCATGACGCGAGACCGTCGCTCTACCCTCCCAGGCCAAAGTGGTTGGGCAAACCACCCTCTTTCCTTACTCTGACACAAATTGTGATCTCTTGATATCAGGTTTACATGTATACTAACCAAGATCTTCCTTTCTCCTTCAGGACGATGAGGGCCTTGGCGTGTCTGGAGGTCTGGGTCCTCCTCCAGCTGCTCCTCCACACCTGCCTGGTGAGTGACCTCAGTAACTCATGCTCCAGGGGTGAGTAACTTCACTAATCTCGGGTACAAATGAGTTTATACTCCTTAACTACCAGCGCAGGTTGAATGGCCTCGTTAATCTAAGGTTAAGACAAACCGGACTCGTTACCAGACGTGCGTGTGAGTGACCCTCTACGGCCTCCAAATATAGTGGAGTGACCTCACTAATCCTAAACAGGTGTTTGTACTCATTTCTGTCTGGGTGAATAACCTGTATACAGGTGTTTAATGGGTTGACGGAGGTCAACAGCTGTCTAGTGTTGACGGAGGTCAACAGCTGTCCAGTGTTGTGTGAGGTCAACACCTGTCTAGTGTTGACGGAGGTCAACACCTGTCTAGTATTGACGGAGGTCAACAGCTGTCCAGTGTTGTGTGAGGTCAACACCTGTCTAGTGTTGACGGAGGTCAACACCTGTCTAGTATTGACGGAGGTCAACAGCTGTCGACTGTCGAGGGAGACTGCAGGAACACGTTGGGCTTGACACCCTTGACAGGCTCCCACACAAGCAGGAGGAAGACGCTTGACTGACGGCAACCAGTCTATTCTCCTACATAGAACGTCGCTTTTCGCACGTATGCGTTACATAAGGCCAAAACATTGTCGTACTTAGAAATGGAAGCGGTTAGGGAAAGGGACGTACTGTCCCGTTTTCTGTTTTGGGTCCTCTGGCAGGTTAGGGGGAGGACATTTTTAAATTGACCGTTTTCTTGACGGTCATCCTAAGAAAACCTTAAGAGGACGCTGCTGCAGTTCCACCTCTCGCCGTTGGAAGACGAAGGGTTCGGGAGCATGATCACCACATACAAAATCCTCAGGGGGAATTGACACGGGAGATAAAGATATTATTTAACACGGGTGGTACGCGAACAAGGGGACACAGGTGGAAACTGTGCCTCATTCTTCAGGCATAAATAGTAAATATACACCTCCCCCCCCCCACACACACATACACAACACAAGGGGCATATACAGAAAGCGACAAGGAAATCTGCGAGGCACTGAATGCCAGTTTCCAGGAGTGTTCACAACCGAGCCTGAGCAGCTCCCATTGTTAGAAGGGGTTACCCTAGATGAAAGACTATCAGATATAGAGGTGACAACAGAGGAGGTAATGAAACAGTTGACAACACTGGATGCAACTAAAGCGGTTGGACCAGACAAAGTATCACCGTGGATACTAAAAGAAGCAGCGCAGGCCCTCAGCGTGCCTCTGGCAATGATCTTTAATGAGTCACTTGTGTCGGGAGAATTGCCCAGTTGCTGGAAGGAGGCAAATGTACCGATTTTCAAGAAAGGTGATAGGGAGGAGGCACTTAACTATAGACCTGTATCACTGACAAGCATCCCCTGTAAAATACTTGAAAGAATAATTAGGCTAAGACTTGTTGAGCACCTGGAGAGCATTGGGTTTGTAAACAAGCACCAACATGGGTTCTGGGCAGGGAAATCATGCCTAACAAACCTTTTGGAATTCTATGATAAAGTAACAAGGATAAGGCAGGACAGAGAAGGCTGGGCAGACTGCATATTTCTTGACTGCCAAAAGGCCTTTGATACAGTACCGCACATGAGACTGCTATACAAACTTGAGAGGCAGGCAGGAGTAAGCGGAAAGGCCCTAGTATGGGTGAAGAACTACCTAACAGGAAGGAGCCAGAGGGTAATGGTAAGTTATGGTAAATGGTATGGTTGCAAAGGCACTCGACAAATGTGACTATGGAGTGATTGCACACAAAATGAGGTCAATGGGTATAACTGGTAAAGTAGGACGCTGGATACTCAATTTCCTGTCGAACAGAACACAAAGAGTAACAGTCAATCAGATAAAATAGAGTCCGAACGCAGTTAAAAGCTCTGTACCTCAAGGTACAGTCCTTGCACCACTGCTGTTCCTTATTCTCATATCAGATATAGACAAAAACACAAGTCACAGCTTCGTGTCATCCTTTGCAGATGATACAAAAATCAGCATGAAAATTACCTCTGCTGAAGACATTGATAAACTACAAACAGATATTAACAAAGTTTTCGATTGGGCAGCAGAAAATAACATGATGTTTAACGGTGATAAATTCCAGGTACGGCAAAAATGAGGATCTTAAACATAGTACAAGGTACAAAACACAATCGAATCTGCCCATAGTAGGAAAACTGCATGTCAAGGATTTGGGAATAATGATGTCCGACGACCTAACGTTTAGGGAGCATAACCAAGCAAATATTGCGTCAGCCAGAAAAATGGTAGGATGGATTACGAGAACCTTCAAGTCCAGGGATCCCATCACAATGGTTGTACTCTTCAAGTCACTTGTGTTGTCCCGTCTTGAGTACTGCTCAGTACTCACTTCCCCCTTCAGAGCAGGAGAGATTGCTGAAATAGAGGGAATACAGAGAACATATACGGCACATAGGCGCGATAAAGCACCTAAATTATTGGGATCGTCTCAAAGCTCTCCAAATGTACTCACTAGAAAGGAGACGAGAGAGATACCAAATAATATACACGTGGAAAATACTGGAGGGACAGGTCCCAAATCTACACAGTAAAATAACAACGTACTGGAGTGAACGATATGGAAGAAAATGCAGAATAGAACCAGTGAAGAGCAGAGGTGCCATAGGCACAATCAGAGAACACTGTATAAACATCAGAGGTCCAGTGAAGAGCAGAGGTGCCATAGGCACAATCAGAGAACACTGTATAAACATCAGAGGTCCGCGGTTGTTCAACGTCCTCCCAGCGAGCATAAGAAATATTGCCGGAACAACCGTGGACATCTTCAAGAGGAAACTAGATTGTTTTCTCCAAGGAGTGCCGGACCAACCGGGCTGTGGTGGATATATGGGCCTGCGGGCCGCTCCAAGCAACAGCCTAGTGGACCAAACTCTGACAAGTGAAGCCTGGCCTCGGGCCGGGCTTGGGGAGTAGAAGAACTCCCAGAGCCCTATCAAGTAGGTAAGGGGCGAAAAGTCGGACTGGCGAACAGTAACAAGTGGAGTACCTCAAGGATCGGTGCTGGGGCCAATCCTATTTCTAATTTACGTAAATGATATGTTTACAGGAGTGGAATCATACATGTCAATGTTCCGGGATGACTTAAAATTAATGAGAAGAGTTGTGACAAATGAAGATTGTAGGATCCTCCAAGAGGACCTGAACAGGTTGTAGAGATGGTCAGAGAAATGGCTACTGGAATTCAACACGAGTAAATGTTTAAGTTATGGAAATGGGACTAGGAGATAGGAGACCAAAGGGACAGTACACAATGAAGGGAAACAGCCTACCTGTGACGACGCGCGAAAGAGACCTGGGCTTGGACGTAACACCTAATCTATCTCCTGAGGCACATATAAATAGGATAACGACAGCAGCGTACTCTACACTGGCGAAAGTTAGAACATCATTCAGAAACCTAAGTGAGGAGGCATTTAATGCGCTTTACACTGCCAACGTGAGACCCGTCTTAGAGTATGCCGCCTCATCATGGAGCCCCCACCTGAAGAAACACATAAGGAAACTGGAAAATGGTTCAGAACTTTGCAACGAGACTCGTCCCAGCGTTACGAGGGATGGGGTATGAAGAGCGCCTGAAGGAACTGAACCTTACGACACTAGAAAAAAGAAGGGAGAGAGGAGATATGATAGGAACGTATAAAATACTCAGGGGAATTGAAAAAGTGGACATAGACGAAATGTTCACACGGAATAGTAACAGAACGAGGGGACATGGGTGAAAGCTTGAAACTCAGATGAGTCACAGAGATGTTAGGAAGTTTTCTTTTAGCGTGAGAGTAGTGGGAAAATGGAATGCACTTGGGGAACAGGTTGTGGAAGCAAATACTATTCATACTTTTAAAACCAGGTATGATAGGGAAATGGGACAGGAGTCATTGCTGTAAACAACCGATGGCTAGAAAGGCGGGATCCAAGAGTCAATGCTCGATCCTGCAGACACAACTCAGGTTAGTACTAGGTGAGTACACACACACACACACACACACACACACACACACACACACACACACACACACACACACACACATACACACACACACGCACACACACACACACACACACCCACACACACCCACACACGCACACACACCCACCCATCCACCACACTCAGAGCAATAATCCACCGTGACTGGTACAAGGAGGTAACATCAACAGAGCCCCTGAGTGTTGACACCCTGCAGACGGCTTCCTCCCTCACACTCCAGTAACCCCAAGACTCACGCCCTCACGCCCTACACATATAAGCGCCACACGAGCCTTAACATGGAGACGGAGACGATTGGGCAGCAAGTGTATGGAGACGGACTGGCGGTGGTGCTGGTAAGGAGCAGTTCTCAGAGGGAGATAAGAGAGGGGGCGGGGTATTGAAGGAGAGTGCTTGCAAGTACTCAAGGCGGCAAGTGGGGCTGCAGTGTGCATCATTGCTTTGTTGCGCATGATCTATATACCTCGGCTGCCTCCATATGTACGGGCTCGCAGTCACGTATGGGGGCCTGACGGCTGAGTAGTGGGCGCTCGGGAGTCGTAGTCATATTAATTATTATTGACAAAATTAATTACAATTTTGCCTAATCTGAGGATTTTGATAGTCTTATTAAAGTGAGGTAGTAGTCATAGGGTCCAGGGATCAATTCCCAGTCGAGGCAGGAACAAATGGGCCCCTAGTTTCTTTCACCTGATGTCCATACTCACCTAGCAGTAAATAGGTACCTGGGAGTTGGACAACTGCCACGGGCTGCTTCCTGGGGGGGGGGGTGTACTCACCTAGTTGTGCTTGTGGGGGTTGAGCTCTGCCTCTTGGCTCCCGCCTCTCAACTGTGTGTGTGTGTGTGTGTGTGTGTGTGTGTGTGTGTGTGTGTGTGTGTGTGTGTGTGTGTGAGAGAGAGAGAGAGAGAGAGAGAGAGAGAGAGAGAGAGAGAGAGAGAGAGAGAGAGAGAGAAAGAGAGAGATAGA